GGTTGAAACATGTAAAATGTATCTACCCATAATCCTTGTCGGTCTCAGCTTTGTAGCTTTTCTGGTGACTAACTTTATTGAAATAAGTGTATATTATAAAAATTACACTATATAAGTTATTTTTAAACTAAGACCATGTACATCACAGAATAGCCTGTTAACGAGGCTCTCCGGGGAGGGGGCCTGGGGAGAGGAATTCCCCTCTCCCTCTTCCCTTCTCTTCCTCCCCCCCTCCCCGAGAAGCCTTGTTCACAGGCTATCACAGAACGAATTTAAATTAAATTAAAGAAAAGGGATATCTTTTAAGCTTCCTTTTAAAAGCTTCGGCTGATTAACAGAAACGTATTTCACAAAGAAGTTTGTTCCACAATCTAGATGCACCAAGGGAGTAAGATAAAAAAAACCTTAAGTTCTAGGACGAGCTAAGAAGTTGATTTGAGACAGAACGCAAAGCATAGCAAGAAGAACAATAGCTTAACACGTATATAGGGGCATGGCCATGTAACGACTTATAGGTGAGCAGAAGCAGTTTAAAAATAACTCTATAGTACTGTGACAGGCAGCCAGTGGAGATCAATCGAATTCGATCGCTATCTTACTTCACATGAGTACGAACGGATTGTTTTCTGATACGTTATTACCAATGAATAAGTTGCAGGTACTGATACAGACCCCCAACCGCTTTGCCTTGAATTTCGAACATTGAAATGAAAGTTGCGCTACTTTGCCGTGAATACAATGGACGGACTAAAAGCTCACGGCAAGGTTTGGTGGAGGTCATATCCCTTTAGATCCCTTTGGGGAGGTGGGCTCCGAGGAATGAACCAAATAACTATATTTTTTTACGAATGCTTTTTTTAATTTCACGATGACAAACTTTTAAACATCTTTTGCTATTTTTGTTGATCGTACAATTTACGTCGTAAAGAAAAGCGAAAATCTTTCACAGGATTTGATAGTTCGTTTTTTTTCCCTCGGAGCCGAAGGAATCCGAAGAGCATAAAATGTATATATTACTGTTGTCATGGGGCACACGGGGTTACATGTCTCAATGGGGCTAAAACAGCCGTACATTTCTTTTCGGTGCGATGCTTCGGAATATTCCACTTCTTTCTTGACAAATTTCTTCACAGTAAATCACGTCCTCTTGCTTCAAAAAATGTCCAAGAGGCATCCCAAATTATTGGGTGAAAGATTCAGTAAATCTCGTCTGAAAGTCAGGAGATTCAGCGAGAAGTAAAGCGGCCATCTTGAAACAAAACTCAATTCCAAATATGGTATAGTAAAACTACAAATTTGCATATCTGAATGTTCCGAAACAAGGTTTCAACTCCCTTATAAAATTCTACTGTTTGGCGTTCGAATTTTCGCTTCCTACCGAGCTTTCCATCAGTGCCGTTTGTATACTGACATTCAAATATAATGGACGGCATCAAATATTTGTTCTCGGGGATAATCTTCAAGAGGAATAGGATGCATAAGAAGTTTCTAATCATGATCAAGTTAATAGCCGTCTCTTTGGCAGTCGTCCTGTTAGCTGACTGGTTCTACGGTTCTACTTTTCGTAAGTATATGAAATCAAACCTAGATCTGTCGATAATGACTAGCGGTATTTAGTTAGGACTGCGTTTGCGTGTCGAATACAACAATTAAGCAACTTTAATTGAACCGCCCAAAATTCCGAATTCCAGTCTAGAGACTTTGCGAACAACATGTACAGTTTTGGAGATGAAAAGTTGGAATCAGTAAAAGCACCAAAAATAATGATCAATCATTTTACGTACGGCTGTTCGTACGGTACCCCTTTTACGGGAGGAGACATTTTTCGCACACTTTCTTTGAGAAACCTAAGTTCACCGATCAAGAAAACTATATCTTGTTTAAGCGATTTTCTTGAGCGTTGTGTCACTTCGCTCTGACCGAATCAATAAGCCTATACTCCAGGACCAGGTTGTACGATAGCGCTATATATCCAACGACGAATAAATCTTATTCAGTGGATAAATGTTTTGGATAATAACATCGACTTATCCACTGGATAAGGATTTATCCATTGGATAGCGCTATACACCCTTACGAACGAACGGACCCAAGCGATAGTTCCATTTCGCATCACTTTTTAAATAATGATCTCGTTATGATTTTATATCACACAACCTCTCGGGGATTTCTCCCTCATAGCCAATAAATTTTACTATAGAATACCGATCAATGTCCATCACAAATGCAGAATAGAATGATGTGAATGTGATGGGGAACGATTCAGTATTTGTTATGAAATTCCCGGCTTTGATAAACTATGGGTGAAAGAAGGTTATTGAACTCATGATATCGACGGTTTGGTCAGTCCGGCACTGAACATTTAACACTTTTGAAAGTGCAAAAACATGAAGTCAATGTCGTTATGAATCTCTGCATATCAAACTTACCTCATAATTTCGATTCTCTCACACCCGTTCGAATAGAAAATGGAAATCGGCGCACGAGGTGACGCTTGGCTTGCGTCTTTTATAATTTGTAAGGGAATCCAGACTTTCTTCGAACTTCAATCAAGACACCCCAAATTTTGGTCAATCGGGTCATTCTGTCGCTTTTTGGCATAAAAAGTCTAGATCTTAAACTAAACTCTTCCTCTTCACCTGAGTGAATTGAGCTGTTAAATTGTAGGTCTATTCAAAGGCCATATGCATTTGACTATGTAATTAATGCCCTAGGGATAAATGAAAAGATAAAAAAATATATATATATATATTTAGCCACTTGGCTCTAGTCCATCAGAAAGGCCCGCTGCTGAAACTGAGAGATTTCAAGCCGTCTCATCGCGAAAATGGCTGAACAAGGCTAGTACCTCGTTGCCCTCAACCAGCAGTCTTTCCAGCTTTTAAGTGCAGGCGTCGAAGCATGATGTTCAACGAGTTGCTTTCCCAGAAAGTCAACAAGCGTATCAGCAAGTTCAACCAGCCGCTGCTCCGCAACCTGCACAAGCAATGGGGGGTACTGATAAATTTTCTCTCTCTTACTCACCATCATTTTAATTAGTAGGTCAGTGTGTGCCAGTGTTTAAGGTTGTTAAAACCGTGTTTTTACTTCAACGGTGTCTTGATTTTTGATGATGCTTAAGGTCAATACTCCGTTTGTACAGGATTGGGTTTGCTTTCATATGGGATAATTGTAGTTAGCATTTTTACACAAGTGAATATAATAAATCCGGTGCACTCGTAATTTGTTACAATTTACGTCTTATGCTATTATATTTACCTATTGATGGTTTTCACGGCGGCCATGTTGGAGGAACTTAACAAAAGAATTATCAATGAATTCTTTGGTTATATCCTCCAACATGGACGCCGTGTCTTTTGTTATTTAATTCTCTTGGGAATGGTTGAAAACCATCAATGGGTAAATATAGCGCGCTCGCGCACGTTCGTTTGTATTTTTGTGCCGCTTGCAGAGATGAATATAATGTTTTGAAAATTCTCTAGAGAACGGAAACGCATTTTAAATTTGCCTTTGCTCAGTCTTAGCCTTGTTGTGTACAAAGATATAACTAGCTAAAAACTAGTGTCAACTGCGTCGGTGTTTCTAATGAAACAGTAATGATGAAAAGTGGTAGAAAGGAGTGTATATATGATATATATATCATATATACACTCCTTTCTACCACTTCTTTCTCTTTTACTCCGACGAAGGACTAGCGTCCGAAACGTCAGTAAGTTTTTTCATCTTTTCACG